GATAATGGGATAATAATGAGGTAACATTAGACTGTCGCCGAAAATCTGGCATCTAATTCCTGCACCGGGGACAATCAAAAAACTTCCGCAAGAATTTTGATATGATTGGTGGTGTTGGTTGACGTGCACGACGAATTCATGATGCACTCAAACTGAGGAGAACAGCAAGTGCATACCAAGAGGAAAAACCCACTAATGAAAAGAAGAAACCGGAAAAAAGCGATTACGGGTGTTTGTGATGGTTTGTGTAGGTTTGCAATTTGAGTTACCAGGATTGCGACCGAACCTTTAAAGAACGGCGCCAGTTCTAACCCTCAGGTCTTGAAGAGGTAACAGGTTGGTCTCTGTTGCCAAATAAAACTACGCCACTCATCATTATTGCACTGACTTTTCTGTTGCATTCTAAGTCCTCTCTGGAAACAAATTTCAGCTGCATGATGTCTCCGAAAATCTGATAACATCTAAGAAGGTATTTACTGCTTGATCCTCTGTTCAAAGGGCCGAATTCACGAATAGACAAATTTCGCCCATCCTTGAATTTGACTCTGCTCAAGGTCACAATGTTGCAATAGGGGATTCGAAACTGCCAGCTACAACTTGCCATGAATTTATGGTGTCCTTGGGTTATAATGAAACAAATATTTGGCTTTATCTAGATGCATGCCTGTTGCCCAAAATTGGTCTTTACTGTATTCTGTAATGGAAATCCACACTTCATACTCAAGATCGGGGCAGTTCACAAAAGCAATTTTGCTTCCACAACTTCCAAATAGCAACAGAAATGAAACCGCTTCTACTGGACTTTCAGTAAATTTCCTCGGATGATGGATGATATACACCAGCCGCAAATAACAATCAAAGGCGTAAACATGTCCTTCCGTTGAACGTTTGGCCAAGTGCTGTCCTCCACGGTGAAAATCAATCCATGCAACCGCAGCCGAGTTAACAGCCTCACAGCGAACAAGGCATTTATCGACTGCTGGTGTATTGGTGTATACTACTGATGAAGCATGGGAGTAGTCTATGTTTTGGTTTTCAAGCTCCACCTTCACATCTGATGGACGACGGATTTTCAGCGACCTTTTGAGTAGTACATTACAAGGATATAGAAGTTGAAGTTTATTATGGATATTGTGGAGCCGCCTTACATTGATTCTTTGCTACTGTGCAACAGTCGGTGAACGTTCAGGAAAGTCCAGCTGAAAGCGTGAGAATGCTCGGTTTTTAAAGACTATGTGCATATGAGATTTTCACTCTTGTGTCTAACGACTGGTATCTTCTAATTTCTGTTCTCACTAACAACAAAGAACTGCCGCAGTTATCTTAAAAATCTATGTACACAGTTTGCCAGAGGAGGTAAAATACAGTCAAACGTAAGGGTCAGGAACTCCGGTAGCTGAAGGCAAACATAATTGTAATTTTGAAAGAGACTAGAATAAAATTTCTGGCTTGTCACTTCGTAGACGCTGGTTGCTCAAATTCTCTGTCGCAGCTTGGAAATGAAAATTTGTCCAGCTGGTAATCATGTTTTTTCACGAACGTGACACTTTTCGTCGTCATTTGAGATCAATCGATCACTGTGTCGCCGCTAAGCGGAGCTAAGCTGTTCACATCTCGTCTCACCACTCCATCAGAAACAGCTACAGTAGCTAGTTTGTGAGGTATGGTGCTCCAGCAAACAAGGACTTAAATTTGATGGCAAGCAGAATAGGCAAGGGTGGGTATATTCACCTTCCAGAGTTAGCTCAAAGTGTCTGAAGGGCCAACGAGATGTCGGTCAACTCATGACATAATATTCTATAAATCCAGATGACGTCTTGCACACAGGAATGTGGATCATAGAAGGCCATAAACTGCTGTTGACGAGGCAAAAAATAAAATAATTCAACTGGTTTCTGTATGATTTCAAATTGCTGGTATGAAAGTTTCTAAATCAAGCAAGCGATTTCTGGCACTACATGTTACTTTTTGATCACGGGATTTGCACGTGACAGATATTGAAGTAAGAATTACTAAAACGTCCTAAGACGTTCCTAACTATCAACGCTAATAAACCGATGGTTAACTATTCTTCAACCTAGTCTGCTATCAAATCAATGCCACCTAGTATGCTTAGATCAATTGTCAATGGGGGATAATCCCAAATGTGGCACTAAGAATACGAGTATTTTTAGCAGTTTACCCCATTTTTTTGTCCCCACCATTGGGTTCCACCTTATTGATTATGTCTCAAAAGTAGAAATTTAGGACTTAATCCCCACAACCTCATCACGATTCATTGCTTGTCTAACAAGCCATGTGGATCAACGTTGCGTTCCGGACGGGCGATTTCGCAGCCACATAATATATGATTTGCGTCATAGATGGGTGCATTTAACAGGCGCGGGTTGATAACGACTTGACTCAAATAACACGGAAAGTGTCAGAAGTAATATCCACTATTTTGAAAACGGAAATGCTTACTTCCAATTTAGACAGATCATGGTTTGCATTGACAAAGACCTTGCAGAAGTCCAGTTATGTTATTTAGTCCTTCTTTATCTTGATTCTGGCCAGTTTTGCATCAATTTCCCCTGGAAATATCATTTGTAAGTTTGTAGCGCATAAACACCTTTGGGTGTATAATTCTATTGCTTCAAAAATGGACAGATATGTTTGTGGGTCCTTTCAGCTACGGCTAACATATAAAAACTATTCCTTTGCGTTCATTCGCCGGGTTCTGGTACCTCTGTAAACGGTGGTGTACACTACTTCATAAGTATAATATATCTATACAAGCTTGGAAAAGACGTTGGACTATTTGTACTTATTTCCTGATCCAAAGTTTGACTGGTCAGACAATCTTGGGGGAAACTGAAAACCAAAGTGTTGTTGACGTCAGTCAGGCGCCACTTTCTTCAACGCGTCGACCGAAGCTTTGCTTCTCCCTTATATCCTTATTTCTGAGTTTCATTCTTCTAGCTCTCTGAGTCTACATGCGGAGGACTTAGGCCGGTCAACGCTCTTCACATTTCACTAAACTTGCTTTCGGGGAAACGAATCAGCAATTTGTTAAGAATCACAGTTTAGACATGACATGCGGCTGAAGGTTAAAAAATATCCCTCCGAAGAGCAAAATTTCGCATTCGTCTGCCAGTCTAAGTGAGCGGTGTTTCATTAACAACTCATGCACAAAAATGTTCCGCTTACCCAACACGATCACTGGCTGGATTGATCTCTGATCTCACTGATGGAAGAGCAATGTGGCCAGGCTTTCCGTGCATCAAAGTTTTTTGGGATGCGCGTATCATCAAAACCCACATGCTTGACTGTTGGCCTCTGCGCTTTTTGTACTGCAGTTTCCCTCTTGGCCCCGAAAGTGTGAATTAGGCCGTCAGATTCGAATAGTCTTCTAGATATCCATCGTGCTCCAGTCTGGATTAAGAAGACGGTGTGTGAAAATTCGTTTGATCAGTAAGCGCGGGATGATCTTCTCTAGTTTGTTGAGGTTTCACGATGATACGAACACATCCGGCAAAAAGGTTAGCATTCTCCTTTTTCTCAGAGCCCTCATGTGTCATAAGCTTTTTGAATCTAGCTGGATGCGAGGGTGTTCAGTCGAACTGAACTGGGCGAAAACTTCTCTCAGTCATGCCAACGAAATGGACAAAAACAGGCAGACCGATGTTCATCCGAAGGATTTACCTAACCGATCGGATAAAATCAGGCGAAAAACCTTTAAACGCATATGGAGATTGGTAAGAGCTTGCAGGTTGAATTAAATGCACTTATTGTTCAGGATCAACAGGTCTGTTTGGTGAACTGTGGTCCATTAATATATTTTACCAAAACCTATAACCCTTCTGTCAGATAGGTGTTCTGGAGTGAAACACCGGTGTGTTAGTCCAAGATTCAAGGAACCGAGCACTTGGTCGTGACGGAATAAGGTGTCTACACATCCATGCATTAATGATTGTACAAATGATCAAATATAAAAATGGTGAGTAAAGGTGAGTGTTCATTTCATCGTGAATATGATGAGGTTTGTCCAACTGGCCTTCATTTGTCAGGTCGACTCAGGACTGCCTGCAGTTGGGAATATAAATTTGAGTGCATACTGTCGAATGTTGGAAAGCGATGAGTAGACGGTAAAACGATCCGACTGCCAGTGGAACATAGCGAGGGAATCAGTAACCTGCTGAAAATTTTCTTGGGTTGATGGAAACGACTGAAGTGATATACGACTGTAGTTCATTCGGGATAACCTGGCGTAATTTCACTCATGATTTGTTTTTATGTTCGCGGTACGTGGAATGGTCCTCTCATCACTCAGAGCATGTTCGATGACCTTCATCCAAACTCATCGACTCTCCTTGAACATCTGGCACCATAGAGTAACAATTATTCTCGCTTTTCGTGAGTTATTGGTCTCTATCTATTAATTCACACCGGTTCTGGTTAGAATGTGTACACTCCATTATCCAAAACGTATGCAGACTTTCACTTGTTCACCATGCAGTTATAATTTACCAGTTGTAATTCGTCAAACTTGCATTGCTGAGCAAATAAGCTAAATCTTTGTTAATCAGGGAGAGTGGTTGCATGGTTCAAGCAGATAATTGACTCACAATTGAGTGTACATGTTCTCGCAGTCCTACATCTTCAAGTTCTTCACACTGGGCGTCTTGGAAACTGTTGACGAAAACCAGAATAGCGTATGATATAAACAGCAGTAACATGCCCACTAAATGTTCCACAAACCACTGAATTTCGCATCATTTATACCGAATGCCAGTGAACTTTTACGTTGGTTGAGATTCGCACTTTGGCATTCAGATTCTCGGCGAACGGACTCTGGAATTTTTTGTCATATCCAACGTTTTGAAACACCATGGGATCCGGCGTGGACTTTGTTCTCGGTGCAGCAGTCCATGGACCGTGGATCAAGGACAAATCAAGGACAATCGTTAAGATACTTGATCATTAGTTTGGACTGCAAGGCAATTTACTGCATGCCACGTGATTTTGGCCCGCTAATCTCGACTAAGCAGTGACTATGACCCAGTTCTTGAAACATGAGAGTGGTGGTCTTGTTACATCTTCCAGTCTGAAATTTACTTAACTTTGTATGTACATGTCGTTAGGCCACACGTCTACCCATTTGCAGTAAGTTCCACGCCACACGCCATTGACCACTATATTGTAAGTATTCGGCCCACCATTCTCCCACAACTGCCACATGTTTGCAAGTAATTTTCATCCACTTTTACTTGGAACCAATTCAACCAGTTAGACGGATGTTCGTTCCGTTGACTGAGAACATAATGGGGATCGATACAAAGACTCCTCGATGGGACGAAATCCTCGTTAATCCAGAATCCAGGAACTATAGTAGGCAAACTGACCTCGTAACCTGAGTACAAGGTGGTGTGTGCCACAAGAAACAGTGTCGTGTATCCAATGGATCCACCGACCGCAACAAATAATATGCTGAACAGACTGGAAGAAAGCTTTTTACATGAGTACATATACACATTTGTTTAGGGACAATACATTCTCCAATTTCTTTGCATGCGGATAGGG